TCTAAGGCACATGTGTCAAACACAAGGCCCGCGGGCCAAATCCGTCCCGCCAGGCCTTGCAATGTGGCCCGCACCGCGCTGTCATCACTGCACTCCGCTGCGTTTCCATCACAATGACAGTTTATGACTGTTCAGTAAACCATTCGGCCCGCGATTTAGGCTGGATTTTAGATTTTGGCCCCTTCTCTGATTGAGTTCGACACCCCTAATCTAAGGGCAATTACTCTATGAAGAGAAAGCTGTGATCTTTTTGCAAAGCAGAGTCTGAGAAGGGAATCTGGCAGGTGCCCACACAACCCAAGCTGGGAAAGTGCTGAGTTGTAAATAGCCCTCCAGGGCCCCCTGCAGGACATGCCCAAAATCACATCTTGCTTTGTCCCTCCCACTGTCCAATACTACTTCACTCCATCCTACACTGGCTTCCTTGAAAGCACATCTATATATATAAAACCCTAATATTTAAAAAGACCAAACAGTGGAACAACCCATCAACCGAACAATTGAACAACCGGTTGCTATGATGTGCACTGACTACTGGGAAGGGGGGGGGGGAGGAGCTGAGGAAGGAGGGTAGAGGAGGGACACACGGAACATGGCAAGCATTGGCAGCAGGCAGCAGAGGGTGGAACATGCTGGGTGTCAGCCATGTCGGGGTGGTGGAGCAGATGAGTGGGGTGCCAGACCAAGGCGGGGCACCAGTTACTATCACTGGGGCAAGCCTCTGGTGGTTATGAGAATTCTTTGCTTCCACCAGGCATTTGCACCTGTTGCTAGCACCCATCATGCTCACACCCACTGCCAGTGCCAGAGCTGCCATTCACACCCACTGCTGGTGTTTGGCACTGGTCCTAATCGCTCAGTGCCATCAGCAGGTGTGAGTGGCGGCTGCTGATCCCAATTGCCCCTGAGGACTTCTCAACCTCCCCCTGCTCCTGAAGGGGCAGCAGTCACTGCTTGCACCTATTGATGGCACTGGCCCTGCTCACACCCACTGCTGGTACCAGCCTCAATCACTCTGTGCCATCAGCAGCTGCAAGCAAGGCCATTTCCATCAGCATATGTAAACAGCAGCAGCAGGAGCAGGGCTGCAGGCAGACAAGGACTGGGGGCCATGGCAGGAGGAGCTAAGTGGGGCCATGGAGGATGGTCCAAGACCCACCCCTGTGCCCACTGCAGCCTCTTGGCCCACAGTTCCTTTCAAGGTGCACAAATTCATGCACTGGGCCCCTAGTCTATAATAATAAACGTGTAATATGCTCATTATACCAGACAGCCAAACAACCTTATGGACGTCATTCCAGACATCCTTCCAGATGGTGGGGCCAAGGCAGAGGCAGTTAGGGGTGATCAAGCAGGCAGGCAGAGTGGTTTAAGCAATCTGGCAGGCAGGCAGAGTGGTTATGGGTAATCAGGCAGGTGAGTAGTTAGGGATGATCAGGCAGGCAGGCGAGTGGTAAGGGGCGATCAGACAAACATACAGATTTGTGCACCAGATTGAGAGAGGGTGCAGGCCAGGCAGAGGGACCCCTGTGGAATCAGGCCTTAAACTGTCAGTTGGATATCCCCAAGGGGTCCCAGATTGCCAGAGGGTGCAGGCTGGGCTGAAGGATCCCTCCCCCTCCCCCCATGCACAAATTTTGTGCACCGGGGCCTCTAGTCTTTAATAAGTCTCTTGCCCACATTCTTCATCTCAGAGTCTGTTCTTGGAATCCTCCTTACGTTTCTGCAGTCTGGAGCTGTGGGCAAAGTGGAACATTTCATCCTGCATAGCCAAAGTAGAGAGAATATCTGACATAGAAATAGGATTAGCTTCTCAACCATGGTAGCCCTGCTGGCTCCCAATGTACAGGAAATTATTTTTCACAAAAGAAAGAACCCTTAATTACTAATCGAAAAAAAGAACCTTTAATGACTAACCAATAATTAAAACCTGAAACCAAGTGCAGGAAGCCAGGGCTTGGCTCTGAGTAATGTTCCTCACCATGAGGTGTGAGTTCTGTACTTTGATGGTGAATTCTGTACTTTGAATGTCACACACACAGCCCTCCCAATGAGTGCTCTGCTAGGTGGAAGAATAAGATGTATTACAGTGTGTGGGTGGTATTTTCCCTAAGCTATGAAAATAGAAGGCTTATGTTTTATAGCTCAAACATTGCCAATTTTTTTGAATAAGAGGTTTGCTGTAAGCTATTCAGGGAACACTAGTTCAAGGGCTCCTCTTGAGTCACTGAAAGCAAAAACATGTTGGTTGATCTTGATGGTCCTCATTTTTCCCATCTGTAAAACAGGGACCATCATATTCTCTGCTTCAGAATCAAATGGGTATAATGATTTTCATATTACTGATATGAACAATGGGTCTTTGTTGATCTTTGAAAAAATATAAATTGGCCTGCCCAGAATGCTAAAGCATCGATGCCCTCCTGGTACTGATCCTGGACCACCGTCCCTTTTTTGTCCAATATAACCCATAGATCTACTCATACATGACCTCTCTCTTGTAGAGAATGTTCCAGAAGACTCCATGCAAAGGAGCCAATCCCTCTGTGGATGCAGTGTGGTAACCAAACAGACACTGAGTTATCTAATACAGTCAGGGATTCTTATGTACAAACAAAGAATGTACACTCTGTGAATAAGACAAGAGCCAAGGTTCATAAACACTTCAACTAAAAAAACACATAAGCAATTTATTTATCCCATTCTACATAATGGTTTGGTTTGAGAGTTTTCATTATCACTTGTTTGATCATAGTTCACAAGTCCATTGCCACTCCCATGGAGAGTTGACTGCTGGTCAAAACAGTACCACTCTCCTGCTCTCCTCCCTGTGTTGATTCTGATATTTTGGCCTCTGCTGTTTGGTGCCTTTTGCCTCCTTGGCTTCTTCTGAACCACTGCAGTCTTAGTACCCAGCATTTTTTGAGTATGTGCTATGTGCCCAGCCTCAGGTTTTACATGCATTTTTGCAATTACATTGCATGTGACCAATGAAGCAGGTACTTTCTTATCCACCTCTCCTAGATAGGAAACAAAAGATCAGAGAGGTTAATGATCTTCCCTAGCTCACACTGCCAAGTGAGAGGTTAAATGTGAAGTTCACCATCTATCATGCCCCCGCCAGGATCCCACAGCTCAGCAAAATGACACTACCATGGATGCAATGTTTAATGTTCCAAACATGGGAGTCATCCTTGACTCCTCTCTCACCTTCTCTTCCCTCAGCCACCAGATCTGCTGGTCCTAGCTCCACTATGCAATGCATCTATCTGTTTTCCTCCATTCCAACACTGGCCTCCTAGACCAAGCCAACATCACTTCCCTCCTGGACCTCACAAAAGCCTCAGCTTCCTGCTTCTATTCTTTACTATTATTTTTTAATCCTAACACAAGGATATGTTTTTATTGAGTTTGAGAGAGAGAGGAAGAGGGAGAGAGAAAAAAAATATTGATTGGTTGCCTCCTGTATGCGCCTTGATAGATTGAACCCGCAACTTAGGTGTGTACCCTGGACCAGTAATTGAATTCACAGCATTTTTGGTGTACAGGACAAAACTCCAACCCAGTCATCCAACCAGAGCCCTGCTTCCACCCTTGCCCTTTCAAATATCCTATACCCATAAGAACCCCTAGTAAAACTTATCTGGGCTCCCTTTTCCCAACCCCCACCCCCTGCTCTTGGGACCACAATCCTCCTTCCTCCTTGTGAGGCTTCCTGTGTTCTGGTTCCAGGCATTTATGCAACCTATCTCCTGATCACTGTATGCCAGACAGTAGCTCCAGAACTGTTTCTAATTCAAGACTTAGAAGGCTTAGGCACTGGCTCTCCCTACAGGTAGACCATCTCAATTTAAGTATCACTCCCTGTTGGGTCCCTTCCTCATTCTCAAAATAGTCTGTAATTATATTTTTGGTTCTTGTTTTTTTATGCCTCCCCCATTGGAATATCAGCAGCAGGCACGTGGGATCTTATCTGTCTTTCCACCCTCTTCATCCTCAGGACAGGACAGTGGGTGGAACAGCGTAAATGACCAAGTATGTGTTGGATGCCTGACTGGCTGATGAAGGGATTTATTATACATTGCATGTGACCAAAGAAGTAGGTACTTTCTTATCCACCTCTCCTAGGTAGGAAACCGAAATGTTCATGCCTATTTTCTTCTAGCTCTGCTTTCTCCTAAAAAAAAAAAAAGCCCTCTTTCTGGCTTAGCTATACTCCTCCTTCTGTTCTCATAATAAAAATTATTTATTCATACCTCAGCAAACACAGCAACTCATTATGAATGAAAAGCATCTATTTAATGCCATCGGGAAGATAGTCTACATAGGAAATGAAAACTTCCAGGATTTCCCAGCTTCTGGGTAAAACTGGTATATTGTTTCACAGCCATAAACCAAGGCACAGATCTGTCCATCCAGGTTGACAGGTGCTCCACCCAGGAGCAGCAAAAACTAGAGGATCAGAATGGTTATCTTAATGCTTTCAGCTCATTCATTTATAATGTATGAAATCAGCAATAGCCTTTTGATTTTTCAAAACATATATTCTCAAGCCAAACAATTAACCTAGATTTTCCATACACTTTTAAGTATCTAAAATACTTTGAATTTTTTAAAAAGATATTCATACACATGTTCTTAGCTAATATGTTTTGCTTCTCCACTATTCCACTAGGAGAATGGAATTTCCAAAATGTGAAACTCCAGTCAGAGGACTCTCTCTAGAAACATGTGGTATCATTATGTCATCATTATTAATATTAAACTCGCTGCACCATATTTACAAATCCTTCCAAAGGAAAACAAACCTGCCCTGGAAGTAATGCTTCTAATTATAAGCATGCATGCTATTTGCTCCTCACAGGGGATGCTTAAAACATCAATTTAAATGCAAACAAATCTTACCGTTCCAAACTAGACTCATTCTACCATGTTGAAATTAATATAAAAAACAATATCAATAAAGAAAAATAAATTTAAAAATAATAATAACAATATCGATCGCTTCTCAGCCTTTTGGCTAAGATCAAGTGTAATATCTGTTCTTATCAGTTTAATATCTGATTCACCCTCTACCTGAGGACAATATATTAAATGGATTTTTGAGCAGGGAGATGGAATAGGGCTTGTTCAATCCACTCCTCACATCGACCGGGTATTGCAGTACCTCCAGGAACGGTGCAAAAATATTGAACACTAAATTCTGAGAATTAATATTGACACAATGAAAAAATACAGTCTCATTTCTGTATTTTTCTATGCATGTGCCAAGACAGAAATATAGGGGGGGGAGGGGGCAGAGTCAAATAGGTATCTAAGTTACTGTATCTTAAAGTATAAATACTAAAGAGCTATAAGGAGAGCCTGAAATTTTAAACACTTCTCTTAAACATAAAGACAAAGAGGACCTTTGTCTCCTCTATAATCTCACCTAGGTGTTGGAAAACTATGATCCACAAACAGGCTATTTGTTTTTGTAAATAAAGTTTTAGCAGAACCCAGCCAAGCGCACTTGTTGACTTAGTGTCTAAGGTTGCTTTCACAGTACAATGGCCAAGTGGGGTTTTTATGACAGAGATCTTCAGACCCCAAAAACCTAAAATGTTCACATTTTGACCCTTTAAGAAAAGTCAGCTGATATCCCCTGATCTAACCAGCTGTTTATCAAGACACAAGAAAATGGCTTTGTTGGAAACATGAGTGGAGAGAGTTGCAATGCCGGTCCAGATACAGCTCTGATCACTTTCTAAGTGACATCTGGCAGGCTGCTAAACGTCTCTGGGGCATAGCATCCTCATTTGTAAGCTGAGAAAATTGGACCCGTCTGTCGTAACTCTAAAATCCTAAAAAACTCTCCTCCCTTCCAATAAAATCACTGATTAAGAAACAAAAGCCGAATTGGTTTTATAAGGAAATGAAATTGTCAAGTAGTTTGAAACTACTTAACTTGCTTTTGAGAATAACAAACATAAAGTCAAAGTTATGTTCCTTTTTCATGCATGATGCTCTCTCCATTAATCACTGTGGCAGAGTGAGCTCAAAGAGTTTTGCATTCATTTACTGTCTTTGGGTTCCCCAAACCTGACCCTGAGGCATGGAATCACAGACCAGTAGTTCATTTGGGATACAGTCCCAGGAGCACACGTACGGGAGGGACTCAAGTCAGGTGTGTAAACAGAGTTACCACTGTGGGCAACTGGAGCTGAGTTCTGCTGGGCAACCCCAAGACACAGGCTAGAACCCCTAAGGGGAAAGAGTTGGGGTATTATTATTCCAATTTCCATCAGTCATTGATAGAGGGCTGATACCAGGATGGAAGGCAGGCAATTTCCTGTACTTCTGGGCTGCCAAGATCATGAGCAAATTGGGCTCCAAAGATATAGAGATGGAAATCTTGCCAAAAAGAGCTGAGTCAATATGCATTGAAATGCTAAAAGCAAAAGGTTATAAATGGGGCATCTAATAGCACCTCCTATACTTATAAAATCAAAGGTCTCCAAACATTTTTTTGTATATACATTATTTTTTACTGAAATTTGTTGATTTAACATTGGTTCACAAAATCATACAGGTCTCAAGCGTACAACTCAACAAAACATCTGCACACTGCATTGTGCACCCATCGCCCCAAGCAAAGTCTGTTTCCATCCCCATTTCCTCCCCTTTTGCTCACCTCCACCTAGCCCCCAATTCCCTTTTCTTCTGGCCATCACTGCACTATTGTCTATCTATGTGTTTTATATATATAAATAGTAATTTTGCATTCTCCTACTTTGCTGAATTCATTTATTAAATTTAGCAGTTTTTTATGGAGTCTTTTCGTGCACTGGGCCTCTCGTATAAATATAAATAAATACATAATTTTTTTACATCAAGTTAAATATACATTATAATATTGTCTCTCCACACCTCAGTGGATATCTTACACATCCCCAGGGATGGGCATACCCCACTTTGGAGACTTTTTCCACTGAGCAGCCAGTATGTAACCCTGTCTATAGCATGCTCAACAAAAGATTCTGAAGTAAAAATTCTTCAGCCAGCTAGATTTCTCTCTTCCAGGAAGGTAAAAGAATAGGTGGATCTGGGGCCATTCCTGTTTTTACCATTTAGGCACTATGGTTTGGGTAAAGTTATTCAATTTCTGTGGCCTGTACATTCCTCAAATGTAAAAAAAAAAAAAAAAAAAAAAAAAAAAAGGTAAAATGTTTTTGCTCATGCATTCAATAGCTATTTATTGAGTCTTATACCAAAGCAGGAACTATGGTATATTAGTGTACATATTTCTGCACAACAAATTATCCCTAAAACGAGGACACATAAAATATATTTTTTTAATCTCCCACAATATCTATGGGTCAGGAATTCAGGAACAGCTTGGCTGGGTGGTTTTGGTCCAGGGTATCTCATGAGATTGCAGTCAAAAACTTGGTCAGTGCTAGGGCTGCAGGATCCAATTTCAAGGTGGTTCCCACGGGAGTGGCTCCTGGCAGGAGGCTCGGTTCCTCTCTGGGGTGGGTTTCTGTGAACTATTTGAGTATCCCCATGGCATCCCAGATGGTTTCTCTTAGAGCAAGTAGTCCTAGAGAGGGAGCAAGGTGGAAGCTGCAATGTCTTTCATGATCGAGCCTCAGAAATCACCTACTGCCATTTTGCAGTGCCTTGCTGTTTATAAGGGTCAGCCATGTTCATTGCAAGGTCATGAATACCAGGACTCTAATGCAAGGTCATGAATACCAGGAAGCAAGAATCACTGAGGGCCAGCTTGGAGGCAGAAATATGCTGATGGATAAAGCAGACATAGTCCCTACCCAGAGATTTTGTTGTCTAGAAAGAAATATAGACTCCAAATCAATAATTACAGAAATAATTGTTTACTTACAACTGTGGTGCTTTGCCATGATGAAAGAGTACTAGGTCCTATAAGTGTGTTTAGCCAGGGAACTTTGATCTGGTCCCCTGGAGAAGAGATACTTACTCTGATGCCTTGAGGATGAGGAGGAGTTAGCCAGGTATCTGACAGCAGAGGAAACAGCTCAGTGCAAAGGCCCTGAGGCAGGAATATGCTCAGCCCTTTTAAGGATCTGAAAGAAGCTGTTGTGTGTGTTGGAGGAATAGGGGAGTATATCAACCCAGGAAGAAAGTGACCCGGATGACACTGGAGAAGTAGAAAAGGACCTGGTCATGTGGACTTTGTGAGTCATAAGGATTTGTGGCTTCATCCTACAAGCAAAGGATGAAGTCACAGACGGGGGTGGGGGTCACACCTGGATTTGGCATTTTTCAAAGATCTGTCTGCTGCTGAGGTGGATTGAGGATGGGCAAGAACGGAAGCAGAAAGATCTATAGGGAGGTTTTTCTAGAAGAAATATTATTTGCCGAAGAGCTATGGTGCTTTTAAAAGAAAAAAAAAAAAAAAGAGAGAGAAAATGTAAGGTATCCTGAATTTAGCACTCACTAAATATCAATTACTTCCCTCTTTCTCTTAAAAGCAAACAAACAAACAAACAACTCAGGAACATTATTTAAAATAAGGTACTATCTGCAAAACAAATGTCTCTAAAAAGAGCAGACAAAAATATTGTCAAATACCGCAGGCCTCATTAGGCACCTTGTAAGCTAAGCCACCAGAGTCTAGGAGCCCTGTCTGTGGGGAACACAGAAGAGGATTCAGCAGCAATTCTAAGGCCTCGCTCCACATCAGCAGGAACCCGGACCAGCCCACAGAGAGCTCTGAATAGCACTTACGATGCTTAATCAGAAAGCATGCAGCGTTGATCTGGAAATTAATTGGATGCTCAGGGTTTTTTTTGCACCTCATGGCGGGTTAGATATTACAAAGATTTTGACAGGAATATATTTAGTAAGAGTATCTCTGATGTGCAGTCCCAAGCAGGGACCCATATTGACTTTGGGGCTCATTATTTCCTGAGAAACAATAGATGCTTGCTTAGTAAAGCTCTTTTGATTATGATGATTAAACACATTGCTCAGAGTGTCTTTAATAGCTACAGAGGAATTGGACCAGACATGCGGCTTTCTAAATATGACCCACTGTGCTATGATTTATTTAATCATTTATAAGAGACCCACAATTTCAACTTAAGTTAAAATAAGTTAACTTGGATTGTATGTAGAGATGACGATGAATATCTACTGCATGAACCTAAGGAAACAAAGGCTCTTTGGTATGTAGAAAGGATGTGAAAATATGCTCAGGCCTGGTACCACCTGCCAAAAGACAGAGAGACCAACCAGTCTTCTGGACTGACCTCCCCTGGCAGGGACCAGCACTCATTCATTTATTACCTGGGGAGGGGCAGGGGCTGAAATGAATAAGGGCCCAGTACCATGTTTACTACTATGCTATGATTTATTTGATCATATTTTAATCGACCCACTATTTTAACTTAAGTTAAAGTAAGTGAACTTCGATTGTATTGAAAAGTGACTGGTTTGGCTCAGTGGATAGAGCATCTGCCTGAGGACTGAGGAGCCCTAGCTTCAATTCTGGTCAAGGGCACATGCCCAGGTTGCTGGTTTGATCCCCAGTAGGGGGCATGCAGGAGGCAGCCGATTAATGATTCTCTCTCATCATAGATGTTTCTGTCTCTCTCTCTCTCCCTCTCCCTTCCTCTCTGAAATCAATAAAAATATATTTAAGTATATATATATATATATATATATATATATATATATATATATATATATTAGAGGCCTGATGCCTGATACATGAATTTGTGCACCAGTGGGGTCCCTCGGTCTACCCTGTCAGATTGGGAGGAAACTGGCTCTTCGACATTCCCTGAGAAACCTCTGCCCAAGGGACCCCTCTGGTGCACAATGGGGGCCAGGGAGGGGCCTTGGGAAGGCTCCAGAGTATGTCCAGCCCATCTCACTCAGACCCCAGCAGCAAGCTAACCTATTGGTCACAGCGTCTGCCCCCTGGTGGTCAGTGCACATTATAGTGAGTGGTTAAGCAGCCTTAGCATGTCATTAACATATTATGCTTTGATTGGTTGAACGGACAACCAGATGACTGTACACTTGGCATATTAGGCTTTTATTATATAGAATATAAAGGAGACTGTACATTACCACTCTAAATAATGTACAGTCAGAAGAGATACATCAGCCTTAAAACTCCTAAGGAAACAAAGGCTCTTTGGTATGTAGGAAAACTTTAGCC